CCCCCCCCGGGACCCCCCGGGTGACGGCCGCCCCCCTGTGCCCCCCCTGCGGGAGCTCTCCGGAGGGCCACCAGCAAGAGGAGCAAGACGGACCTGCTGAGCCCCGAGGAGGGCGAGGAGCAGCTGGGGGACATCGCCGCCATGGGTGGGTGACAGCGGGGACACGGGGACACGGGGACATTGGGGACATGGGGACATTGGGGACATTGGGACATGGGGACATGGGGGACATCGCCGCCATGGGTGGGTGGCAGCGGGGACACGGGGACACTGGGACATGGGGACATGGGGACACTGGGGACATGGGGACATCAGGGAAATCAGGGACATCACCGCCATGGGTGGGTGACAGCGGGGACACGGGGACACTGGGGACATGGGGGACATGGGGACGTGGGGGGCACTGGGGACATGGGGGAAATCAGGGACATCGCCACCATGGGTGGGTGACAGCGGGGACAGCGGGGACAGCGGGGACATCGGGGACACGGGGACACGGGGGACATGGGGACATCAGGGAAATCAGGGACATCACCGCCATGGGTGTGTGACAGCGGGGACATGGGGACATGGGGGACATGGGGACATGGGGGACATCGCCGCCATGGGTGGGTGACAGTGGGGACAGCGGGGACACGGGGGCACTGGGGATATGGGGACATTGGGGGCACTGGGGACATTGGGGAGAATGGGGACATGGGGACATGGGGGACATCAGGGACATTGGGGACACTGGGGACACTGGGGACACTGGGGACATAGGTGGGTGACTTTGAGGATATCGAAGGGTGGCACAGGGGACGCAGGGATGGTTTGGCGGGTGGTGGATGGGTGATATAGGTGACACGGGTGACGCAGGGACACCCTGAGGTAACACTGGGATGGTTTTTGGGGGGTGGATGGGTGACACGGGTGACACAGCTGACACAGCTGACACAGGTGACACAGGAATACTCTGAGGTGACACAGGAACACCCTGAGGTGACACTGGGATGGTTTTTGGGGGGTGGATGGGTGACACGGGTGACACAGGCGACCCCGCGGTGACCCCGCGGTGACCCCGTGCCCCGGGTGTCCCCAGGGTCCCCTTTCGCCCGTGCCAGCCTCAAAAGTGCCAAGCTGGAGAGCGCCACGTTCCTGGGGCGGCGGGAGCGGCGCGTGCGCTTCCACATCCGGCGCATGGTGAAAACTCAGGCCTTCTACTGGACCGTGCTCAGTCTGGTAGCGCTCAACACCCTGTGTGTTGCTATCGTTCACTACGACCAGCCAGATTGGCTTTCCGACTTCCTCTGTGAGTCACGGGACCCCCAGAGACCCCCCGAAATCATCCTGAGACCCCTCAAAATCACCCCAAATCCCCTGAGACCCCAGAGACCCCAAATCCCCCCGGGGATCCCCATCAGTGCTCAACACCCTGTGTGTTGCTGTCGGTCACTACGACCAGCCAGATTGGCTTTCCGACTTCCTCTGTGAGTCACGGGACCCCCAGAGACCCCCCCAAATCACCCTGAGACCCCCTGAGACCCTTCCCAAATCCCCCCCAGACCCCCAGAGCTCTTCCAGAGCCCCCCAGACCCACTGGGGGCTCCTGAAGCCCCCCCAAACCCATTAGATTCCCCCCCTGAACCCCTCCAGCTCCTGGGACCCCCCCCTCATTTTTGGCCCCCCCATCCTGGGGTTGCCCAGCCCGGGAGACCCCCGGGGGTCCCCAG